GTCTACCGTGTCCATCGGCCGAGAGGATTCAGAGGGAAGCGGTAGATGGAGTGAGGAGGGGGTGGAGGTGTGTGGTGGGGAGCTGTGGATGAGCGAAGCGTCTGGTATGTCATGGCGAGTCGTGTCGTGGTAAGCCGTGTTCACCAGACGCGCAGATTCGGCAGCTAGGGGGAAGAGGGAGTGAATGATCGGAACATCTGATACGTCCTGGCCTGCCGTGTTCTGATCAGTCGTATCTGAGTGGATTCATAGGGTAGCGGGAGTGGATGTGGTGAAAATCTTCCCTATCTGACCTGTCGTGCACTTCTCCTGCTGGGATTTTGATAGCTGCACATGAGCTGGGATAAAAGGGAGGGGGGCGGAGGATAGACGAACCGAACATCTGAGTGTAGGGGAGATGGCGAAGCAGTGGAGTGAGGGCGGAAGAGTATTAAACGCAGTGGGCGTCTGGTGATAAGATTCGAATGCGCGAGATGTCAGGTGGATGTGAAGGGGGTGTGGATGGAAAGATGTTGGATAAGTCGGCTCATTGACTTTATCACTTCGTTTCACGTAGTAAGGAGATACAAGAGAAAACTTTCTTGTGATTCCTTCCCTGTTGGACTGTTCAGTGTGGCTATAGTTGGTTTTTTTATGTGTCCTCATAACTGTGAACATAAATGTTGTAAAGTTAACTCGACATCTTGAATTTATGGATGACTTGAATTTTTCTTTCAGTTCACTTACTCAAAATCCACGATCTTCAGTAATTAACTTTGATAATTCAAAATATTTCAGAACTTGTTTTTTTTTTTTTACTTTTTTTCTTAACATTTTTCTCTTGTTAGAGATCAGTTATGGAGGTGGAATACATAAACACTTTTTTCGAAATGAAATTATATATTAGTTGTGCAAAGTAACTAACAGTCAAACTTAAAATGATCGAGACAGTCTAAACCAGTTCTATAGACTTGACACTGACCAGCATTGAACCTAATGTCGGAGAACATTACAACCCCGAGGTAAAGTCGGCAGGTCCCTTTAACATAGCAGAAATAAATGCCAGGAACCTGCCTGTTATTAGACTGCATAGCTGTGGGGAGGCAGTTGTGCTGTAGGACGTGAGTCATTGTCTGGCGAGGGGGAAAGAAATGAGAATGTCGGTAACTATGGAGTGCCATAAGGACGCTACGCGGCGAGGATAGGTGCTTAAACGATTAGGACAGGCGGGTGGGAGACGGGAGAGGGGGATGGCAGAGCTGCGAGGGCGAGGCGCAGAACAAGAGACTGCAGCGGGTGGTTGGGCAGCGAGTGAGGCGTATCGCAGGGTCTCCGCTGTGGTCACCGCACTGTGTTCCGGAACGCGACGCGATAAACCTTCGCGGTATCGGACTTTGAACCTCACCGCCGCTCTGCTACTTATGAAGGTGTTTTGTGACGTCGTGGATGGCTTTAGTGACTGCGTGTTGGAATTTAGAACCTTTTTGTCTGAACAAAGAAGAAGAGAAAGAGGAGTGGCACTTGCGTTGGCCGTAGATTGTTGGAAGAATACACGTATAATACTGATGTTCTTGTGGTATGCAGGAAGTATTTGAGCGCCCAGTAATGTCGCATTGCTTTTGTTTTGTTACAATTAATTTATTGTAACACCCATACAGCTCTCCTATTGTATAGGATGCACAGATAAAAAGCCTTTCACGGTGTACTCAGATTCTGATCTCATTGTTGCAAGAACACGGATTATGTGAAATTCAAAGGCTTCAATCTAAGGTTGAAATCTATAATATACTGAAATTATAATATGCTAAAAGGAGAGTTTTAAATGAATACTTAATAATAGAACAGCAATCACTGTTTTGTAACGAATGGAAGGATGCCCGAAATTGTAAAATTGGCATCCATAGTTGAACAGACATGCAATACTGCAACAGACATGCAATACAGGAGAATTGAGTTTTGGATTTCGACGAATGATCTATTCTAAGAATCCAAAGAGGAAGAGCTGCTTTTAATTTAACAGGTTTGTGAACATTTTGAAAATTTCTTACCGATTTAAAATATAAATACTGAATTTTGTTCATGATTTTAAATAGTGAAACTATCAAACATCTTCATGCGTTCCCATTGAAAAAATCACCCTACGAACGTTTCGGAAATTTGCATTTACAACTATATTCATAATTCATTGTTTTGTAATCGTAGCAATCCCGTAATAAGACACCTACAATGTTGTTTGTTTTTTTTTGGGGGGGGGGGCGCTGCATTACTTACAATTCTTTTCGGCGGTTATTAGAAATTGTCTCGATAAAGGGGAAATCGGCTCTAAAGAGGATTGGAAGGGGAAAGAAGGATTACGCGCAGAATTGCCCATTATATGTGGCTCTAATGTGTCATCTGACTAGAAGTGATCGTAATTAAAATAATATGAATACAATTGACTGGTTTCGTATTAATTAATTCTAATGATTGTCTTAAAACATAAGATACTTAAAATGACAGGAGCCGCCTATCACCGAATTAAATAATATTTTTTCCAATATCTTATTTACTGTTACGTCTTTAACACGAGTCCTTTCGTGCGCATTCGCAGTGTCTGCGTAAGAAAAATTGAAGAACGGACCACTCCGGGGCGCACAATCTCAGCGGGAGGCAGCGCCCGGAGCGGCCCTCTCGTGTGCTGGTCTCTCCGATTTCCTTTTGAAACCCGACCCCGCCTCTTTTTCAGAACAGGTTTACGCGACGTATCCAGTTCGCGGGTGCAGATAGCCACGTGTCAACGCCCCCGTGGCATGCGCCCGCGACGGCCGTGCGTGCCCTGCCCCCCATCACTCAAGCTATACGACCGGCGTGAGCACATGAGTGCGGCGCTGATTGTTGTCTTGGGGTACGCCGCGCCGTGGGATGAGGCTGTGCCGTGGCGCAATATAATGAGGCCCATCAAACTGTCGCTAGTTCGTGATGATATTGGAAGGTACGCAGGTTAACATTTCTAATTGAAAGAGTATTCCATGAATGGATTCAGAAATCGCTGCAAATTTACAACTTCCATTTCTTTCAATCTATTTACCTGAACACAGGGTATCTTGCTTGAATGTAGACACTGCTGGGCCTTGCACTTACGAAGATTTCAGCTCTAAACGAGGAACTGAAGAGTCAAAAGTAAGGTTTATCGCATTATTCGTATTTAGTGTGAGAAATTATTTAAATAAGGCAGTTTTCTTATTTAACAGGGAGATGGACTTGACAAGATAATTTATGTCATATATAAATTAATTTACTTTATAATTAAAAACTATTAATCAATAAATTAAATTTTTTGTTTCATATGTGCTTTGATTGTTGTATGTGGTTATATGTAACTTCGCATCTATATCACATTAACAGTTATCTGGTACAAGGTTGATAAAAGGAAAATTTGAATGCCATTTTATTAGAGCGTTTACGAGAATGCGTAATCATATTCGTATTGAAGGGAATAATTGAATTATTTTGCCCAAAGGCGTCGAACAGGAAAAAGGCTTAACAAGCACTTATTTTTTCAGTGTCATTTAACGAATACAGAAATAACAATCACCGTTTTCGAGGAGGATTGAAGAGTAATTTGTTGGGAGATTTGGTGAGATAAGGTCATAAAGGAGAATTTGAAGATAAGTCATCGTGCGTGTTGGTCTTTGGTTGCGTGCGTGTAGATACCAGCAGCTTGTAAACTATCAATATACCATCTCTTCCGGAATACGGGTTATATTTTCTGAAACATAAATTTATTAATTTTTGAGAGGGAAGCTTCTATTGTTCATTTAAGTATGTAACATCGTAATAACATACAAAAACAAAAATGTTATATGGCAAGCACTAAATATGTGTAAACAACGAAACTATTTAGACGCATCGTTTATTGTTGTTCAACATGCGTAAAGACATGAGTAAACTTGCCCATTCAGGTTTTTGAAATTTTCAGATTGTGCGTATCTTAGCTATCGCACGTCGTATAATACGTAAGTAAATGGCTTAGTACTAAGGCGATTTTGTTCTTGGAAGCAAACTCCATTTCATTATCGTATTGAATTCACGAGACACACACTACGGTTAATCTTTTTCTTCGTCGACCGTAAGTACATCTATTGTTCGTCATATGTTTTGTCTCGTAAATTAATTAAGAAGCGAGTCCTCACATCACGCAACATATTACACCACATCCCTTTCATTTGTTCCTTTTTGAACGCGAACAATGGCGGAGGCCTTTCTTCTGCCACGGCGCTTCTGTGTCCAATGCAGCTATTTGCATTTCAACCCGACCGACCCAGGGCTTTGCCTTGGCGCTTGGGATATTGACCTTGGTATCTTTTATGCACCCCGTGCGCAAAAATAGGTTTTCCTTGCGGCTCCTTCTAAATAATTACATGCAAATTTTAAGCGGAGCGCTCCATTTGACCGTGGAAAAAGGAAGAAATGAATGCATGGCGTGATAAGGCGGGCTACCACGACGCGGAGGCGAGACTGCCGAATGCAAATCATTGGCGGCCGTCTTTTATCCGAACCCCCTCCCCCCCACCCCCGCACACATTCGTTCGAGGTTCACGTTCGGAGGTCACGACGACCTCAAGAGGCCCAAGAAGAACGTGCTTGTGGAAGTGTCACGCGCGTGCCATTTTGTCACGCGTGTGAATGGGTGGATTGGGCTGGCTTGCAGAATCGAAACTTGTGGGACACGCGCCCGGTTTGCGTGATCGTGGCGTCTCGGACCGATTCCAACGTTCGTGCTTCGACGCTGATATCGATTGAGAAATGTTGTGACTGATTTTTTTTTTTTTTGGCTGAGCAGAGGAACAGATAGAAGAACTCGTTTTGGATGGTATCTCATTTCGCGAAGTCACTACTATAGTTTCCTTTTTCGCAAAAACTGACAATTTATGTGCTCTCCAACAATTAATAAAGTTTTTTGGTTATTTCCTTTTCTTTTAACTAATTTCAAAGTGGGCATAACTTCTTATTTTTTCTAGGTTCGGAAAGTATACAAGCAAATGGCGTTTATCAATGTATTTTGTAAAGTGAACATGCTTTCAAACACTTTAAATTATTTCCAAATCATATGACATATGTTTTCTCTTATCATCCTTACTCTCCAGTGTCAATGAAAATGCTTAATGACGTTTCTATATTAGCAGCATTTTTCAAGTGTTTTACGGAATGAACTGAAGATGACAAAATTAAGATATAAGTTGACGAAATTTTTTTGAAAACGATTTATTATACGAAATTTACATGATATTGTACGTTGTATAATTAGACATTTTTCAGCACCTACTGCATACACGCTTGTCAACCTGAAACGTACTTATCATGGCTTCAAAGCGTAATTTGTTTATGCACATTTTCGGTCGTCTTTGAATCTGGATGTATGGGAAATACACATGTTCATGGTAGAATCCTCAAACACAAAGTGAATGATTTTCCTGATGAGGAGAGTATCTTCCGAAACGTCTTATTTTTTCCGTAGACATAAACGTAAAGGAAATTTCATGGCTCCTGTAACTGCGAAAAATAAACTTTTAAAAAACGTGGATATCAAAAGATGCTTCACTATCTTTACTACTAAATAATGAAAGTCTCCCAAGGGTGCAATTCGTCTCCTTCACCCTCGGATTCTTCGTAATTCCTCTGAGACGTCTGCTGGGAGTGGATGAGGTAACAGCGCTTCCTGACGCCGCGTCTCTCGTGAGACAGGAAACAGCAGACGTAAAACGGACGACTCCCTGGAGACCGCTACGCGAAGAAACGACCGACGGAGGGGGCGTAACCTTTCGCGTTTCCTGATCTCCTCGTAATTACACTCGCTTTATGGATTTAATCGCGACCTTGAAACGGGGCCGGCTTCGCTTTGTGTGGCTGTTTTTGCGTGAGAGCACTGCTTCTCTGAAGGGTTTTGCAACCCCGAACTGTTGCCGGTGGGGTGGCGTGTACGCGATTCCTGTAATTAGTGAGCCACTTCACAGGTTAGGTCGTTAAACTGCAATGAAAATTAATTTACATTTTTCTCCGGGATACATATCGTAAAACGATTTCAAAATAAAAAAAATCATGATTTTGTTGCCTTGTTTTAGGAGAAAAAATACAAAAAATGAGAACGTATGCAAGTCAGATAACTTGTAATGTAATGTGTAATAAATAAATTGCAAGTGACCCTAACTATTGATTGTCGTGATGTTGGTGCTGTAGAAAGGATGCGAATTTTTTCTATTTGAGATACGTATAAACTATCTGATTGTGGCGTCGCTGACTCAGTGAACTATTTTAAAAGTATTTTCATGAGTTGAATTTTTTAAAAATTGATTTAGTTTTGTTCAAATGAGTTCTTTCTTACATTATTTGGCATAGGACTTACCAAGGAATCGTAGTAGCTAATAATGTTATACTTCTGATCAAAAATGTTCAACACCTTGCATCTTACCTTCATACCTTACCTTCATATAAAGTGATAAAATTCCAAATTTAAAATTGTAATCGCCGTAAAGAAACCTGTAGGTATGGATAATGCGAATAGTTAGAATTTAATTCATCTATATTTTTACGCTCTTTTGCTATTATGCACAAAAATGCACATAAAATATCACCTGTAAGCTGATCTTCAGCATTGTTCTCTAATCTTAATGTAAGGTCATTCTCAATTAGTTCCGAAAATTCTGTTACAAAATCTTCTACGTTTCATTTTTCCCGGATTTTCTTAACATTTCCATACTGTTGTTCCGTAATTTTTTGAAGAGTTTAAAACTCCATAAACTCAGTGTGATTTGTAGGAGACTGTTTTGTATGTTTTTATGAACAAGGTGTTAATTAAGTTTCATAAGAATACGTTTTCGAAAATCAGTAATTACACGCTTAAGAACGTAAATGTGCAACGTCGAGTACGCATGTGAGTTCGTTCTCTAACATTACTCACTGTTCTTTGTTTTATCCGTATTCACTTAACGTTCTTCAATTTACTTAGTCCCGACTGTTCAATCGCATTTATGTTCTTTCATTGTTATCCTTGGATACTACTAAATGGTTTAGTTTAGGATACCTTTTTTTAAAGTGTTGAATAATAAATGGCACATATTGGTATAAAATGAACTTGTGCAACGAACAATTTACTACTACGGTCATTGCACAAACGTTGACTAATCAGACTAAAGGATATTAGTCACCCCGATATTACGAATAAGCTTACGCCGTGAGCGCAGGCTTTCGCGCTGCGGGCGGCTAGCGCGGCAGGTTGGCAGGGGCGGGCACCGGAAACGCTTCCGGCCCGACTCGCGTGTCGCAAGCCAGGCGTGCCGACCTGCGCCCTCCCGCCCTTCCATGCCTATCGCCTACCTCTCTCTCTCCCTGCCCCCGCCCCGCCCCCGCCGTCGCCACGCCCGCTTCGGTTCGCACCGCGACCTTGCCCCTCCTGCTGTCACAGCGCACCGCGTCTGCTTTTCCCACCGCAGGCCGCCGCCGCTCCCGCCGACTGCTTCGCCACTCTGAATCACGCCCACGCGACGTCCAACGAATGTGCGCGGACGCTCTCTGAAATTTATGAATCTGGGAACATTGCGGCTTAGGTGGCTCAGGGTGTCAATTGATTCGGTTATTTCAGAAACCCTTCAAACGCCAAAATCTAGCGACGGATTATTGTCCCAAGAGGATAGGCACATAGTTTGATGCATATTTATATGAAAAGTATTCATTTATCAACTGCTTTAATAAATAAAAATATTTTGAAATCAGGTAAATTGGGAGACTTTTTTCTCAATTTTTCGGAATGAGGAAATTGGTGTTTGACGAATTTATGAAATAAACGATTCAATTGATGTCACTGTTTAATCTCTGACCGGGAGGTCCTAGGGTTGGAGTCCTGACGGTGGCAGGATTTTCTACAGTAGCTATATGACCAGGTCGAATTCATCCGCTGCTCATTGGGGTAAGATATCAAAAATCTGAGCAAAATATCAAAACCAAATTTGCAAATTTCCAATTGTAAATTCATCTAATAACAAATTAATTGTATCATTTTGTATAAAAGTTAATTATTAATTAAATATCTTTAACCGGTTTTTGTAAAGTATTGTAATACACATTAACATTGCACTCATTATCTGGTTTTTGGTCCATTTTGAATGATGAAAATTGCTCGAAACCGAAAACAGCTGCTCCCTCAAAGGCCGACTGGTTATTTAAAACACCAGGCGAATGCCGGAGCAGTACTCTAACAAACGGACCGCGCACGGTCTTTCCTTCCTCTTCCTTGTCCTATCCTCTCCTCTTACTTACACACACT